TAGCTTCTATATTTGGTATAGCTTGTACATTTAGTTGTTTCCAGTAGAAATAGACATAAATCCTTATCTTTTATGGCTTCATGTGTGAGGAGTAATTCCTGTCACATTACTTCCTGTTAGTTAATAGATAGCGTTAGGTCAGCTCACATTAGCTAGATAGCTACAGTTAGCAGCTGGCTTTAAGACTGAACACTAATTCGGATTTATGCGCTCCAAAAAAATATCTTGGCTGCTGAGGACTGTCTTAAATGAGCCAAAAAATGCAATCAGTGGACTTTGTTCCAAAACTTGCATAATATGGAATAAAACTGGCAACCCTACCAGCACAGTGTGTTCTCAATGACACATTGAGAGGTCAGGGGTAATTATTAAAATTTCTAAATTTAAGATTTAGTTTTAAGATTTAGGGTTAAAATGTAGATAACATTTATATTTTATGTTTATAATTAATATTTACATTTTGCATTTAAATTAATATATAAAATTTACTCTCACACTTAAAACTGTTATTTGACTCGAGTCACCATGTAACCAAAAAAAACAAACAATCAAACAAATAAATAATCATAGAAAAAAGAATATTCAACTTTTTGCATTTGATGGCCCATATAATATTATTTAGAACATGTGGATGTTTTAATGTTTTTGAAAATCTGAATAGTTGAATGGTTTGGTTCTTAATTCTGTATTAATTAAATTAAAATCAGACTTTAAAATGTATTTTTTCCACTTCACTTTACTATCCCATTTCTCATACAGCTCTCATTATGCTTTGACACAAGAGTTATCAGTGGCCTATTTGTTTTGTTGACATCACCTTAATGTCATCTTACCAGCTGATGAGGTTCTCACTGCATAAGAAAAATGCTGAAATTGAAAATGTCTTCTCTGAGCAAAATTCGACCTTTTATTAAATGTCTATTTATTATCATTTGTATTCAAGCATGTTTGCCTTCACAAATATGTCATCCTTTTTAAAATTAATTTATTATTTGATGTAATTATTTATGAATCAGATTAGGACGTCAGTAACAGAATTTCACTGTGTGATACACTAAAAGACACTAAAAATTTTGAATCCTTGAATAATGCAGCAAAACTTCTACAGTGACAGTTTCACACTTAGACCAGACTGTATAATCAGATTTATTCAATTCTTTTTATATAAAATTACAGTGACTTTAATGTGAGAGAACTCCGCTCTGTAAAAAAGATCATTATTAGCAACTTGCACACATCCACTTTGTGTCCACAGACTTACTGAAGCTAATGTCATTAGAGAGAAGGTCAGTATGTTGTGCCTTGGTCAAAACACTTCTATGAGGCTTTTTAATAGGATCTGATATTCTGATAAATGGCCAACTTACCACAATCAATTTTAACTGTGATGGGGTCACTTGTAATTGTTCCTTTCTCATAATCATATGTCCCAGTGCATTTATAATCATGAAAGGGTTTCAAATCTTTAAAATCTGCAACTGTCAAACCTGCAAAGAATAAAGTTTTTTTAATAATAAACATCATTATTATGTGTTACATCATGATTTTTATTTCTTTTTTTGTGGCAATAAAACAAACAGTTGCTCTTTTTAAACAGTGTAAGCATTTATAACTTCAGTGCTTACCATTGCAGTTGTATGTGAGGTCTTTTGGGCAGTTTGAAGGCTTTTTGTCCCAACGTAATTCCGTAGGGAACTCATTTATATAATTAATAACAGGATTTACTGCAACAGACACATTTAAGAATTTATTTTCAAAAACGATTCTTCCACATACTGTATACACACAGCTATATTTAAGCCTTTGTAATTTGGGTGTGCAAATTCCATACCGTGCTATGAGTTATTAATACAATACATCCTACATTCATTCATTAATGAGATTTATTAATTAGAGACTGTATATATAATGTATAGTATACAATGTAATATATATGTATTTTTGAGTTGATCATGTACATTAATAAGTGAAATATATACCTGGGGGAAGTGTGAAATTGATAGATTTCTTGCAGGGATCTCGTTTAAAAGTCACGCTATAGTTAGTGCAGGAGTTACTGATATCGATATCAATACATTTACTCAAATCCCATTTGGTCTCAAAACACACTTGTACTTTTGCCCCAGTTATCTTCAACATGTGGTTTACATCTGACTCAACTGCAAAAACAATCAAATTAAATAAAGCTGTTAGAAATCTTTTATTACTACATATAATAGCTACTTTATTATTAGTTGAATAAAGTAGTGTACAAATTCTGTACACAAAATTATATATTTAATTTACCTAATTCTCTTGTTTTATAAAATCCAGTCGTGGGTTTACAGGGAGGATCAAAAGTGACAGTGTAATTTTGGCAAGGCTTTAATGATTTAATTGATATTGGGAAAGACTCTTCTGGATATGTTTCTATAGTGCTTCCATCTGATGTGTCTGTGAAATTAATCTTGTATTTGACTGCTGAGTCATTCTTGGAAATGTTCACTTTCACAGCATCGTTTTCTTCCCAGAGGGTGTAGTTGCCTGTCAATAGATGTTTTCATGTACATCGTGAACAAAACAATATCATGATCATAAACAGAAGAACTTTTGCTTTGGAATTGATGGAATTGTACTTACACTCGGCGGATGTCTCTGTGGAGTAAAAGGAATTACAAAGTTATAGCATATATACTTAGATGAAATATAAATATAAAAGTCAGTAATAAGAAGTGTGTGTGTGTGTGTGTGTGTGTCTGTGTATAAAAGGGGGGTGTGTTGTTGTTTTTTTTTGTGGTGTGGGGTGTGGTGGTGGTGGGGTTTTTTTTTTTTTTTTTTTTTTGTTTTTTTTTTTTTGTTTTTGGTGTTTTTGTTTTTTTTTTTTTTTTTTTTGTTATAATTTAAAATAAAATAAAAAAAAAAAAAAAAAAAAAAAATAATAAAAAAAAAAAAAAAAAAAAAAAAAAAAAAAAAAAAAAAAAATAAAAAAAAAATAAAAAAAAAAAATTTTAATTTTTTTTTTTTTTTTTTTTTTTTTTTTTTATAAAAAAATTTAAAAAAAAAAAAAAAAATACAAAAAAAAAGGGTTATGGTTGTATTTCGGTGTTGATGCTTGGTGGTGTTTGGGAGCAAGCCTGGTGTGTAATTGTCTGGTACTAGAGCAAGTATAATACATGAGTATATCAACATGTAGCATGTTGTACATGATTATGTTATGTTAGCTACTACTGTATCGAGTCTAGTTAATTGGCTTTCTGTGCGATTTAAACATGAGACTGGACAGCACACTGGAGCTTTATTAACCTGGCAACCTAACTACTGAATTTCTCAGTTCTCCACCCCTAGCTTTTCATCACTGCTGTCTGATTAGGGCTTAAAAACGTCTTAAAAAAGTCTTTTTACATTATTTTTTAAAACAAAATTTGTTAATGATTACACAGCTACATTATATAATCACTATATATAATTATAGGCTGTGTGTGTGTGTGTGTGTGTGTGTGTGTGTGTGTGTGTATGTGTGTGTGTGTGTGTGTGTGTGTGTGTGTGTGTATGTATGTATGTATGTATGTATGTATGTGTGTGTGTGTGTGTGTGTGTGTGTGTGTGTGTGTATGTGTATGAAATACCCAGCTGTGTGATCCAGCAATGTTTTGTTACCTGTTGTTGTGCTGGGTGTGAGTGTGGGTGAGGTTGTGTTCATGGTGGAGGAAGTGCGTGGGGAGTCAGAGGTGTTTGCGCTTGAGTTTTCTGTAAATTATCAACAATGTCAGTAGGGTGTTAATTACAGCTAATAGTACAAACTCCACGATAGGCTATATACGTATGTATGTATGATATATAAAACTCTACAAGTTACATATTATAAAATATTACAAAATTCATGATCGATGGCCGTTTGTCATGTAAACACCAACCTGTGGCACAACAAGCTCACATTTCAACTACATAAGCAGTCTGTTTTATTATTTTTTTAACCAAGGTGAAATGACTTAAAGAAAGAAAAGATTACATTTAAAATTGTTTTATTTTAAAATTCATTTACTCTTTAATAATTGATATTGAGACAGAATCAAATTTCAACTCTAGAAAATCTAATGAATCTGGATATGCATGAAAGTAATTTATGAATGAAAAAGTTAACGTCTAACAAATCTGTTGTTATAAAAAGGAAGAAGTGATTTAATGAATAGCTGAAACCATACACAAGGACTAAGCAAATGTGTGGACTTCAGTTTATATTCAGCATCATGATTCCTGATTTATCGGATCAATGTCACGTGGCGTGACGGCTGACAAGGATATAGGATGCACTCGCAGTTCAAACGGTGAGGTTTATTTACAATGTGGTGAAAACAAACAAAAACATAAACAGAAACAGAGACAAGGCTCTCTCTACAACTAAGCTAAGCTAAACTAAACTAAGTCTGTGGCTAATGCAAACACTAATGCTAAGGCTATGGCTATGGCTATGGCATAAACAGGACATGAAACAATTACTCGCTAAAGTAGCACTCGCGCTATAAATGGCGGGCATACATAGATGCATACATCAGATCAAGCAGCGCATTCAACCGCACTGTGTGAAGGACAGCTCACGGTATATATCCACACAGTCATTAGCCCGCAATAGCTTCCAGCTGCGGGCACTTCCGCATACGTCACACATGACGCGAGGGGGTGAAAACATGACGTCACCCCGGAAGTCCGCGCGTGCGCAACAGCGCTCAGCTCGCGCTGTTACTCCGGGAGAACCGTGACAATCAAGAGGACGACACTAAGTGATATATTACTAAAGAGCACTCTTAAAATTATCTTTGTTTACAAAATAAAGTATAATATATGGTTCTCATTTTTACATTTCCTTAAGTTGTAGTCTGAGATTTTATTTATCTGTTATTATTACTTTATTGATTGTTATTAGTCACATATACAGTAAAGCAGAGAGAAATTATTTTCTGTGCCAGCATGCCTGGAAGTTGGGGTCAGAGCAGAGAGGGTTAAGGGCCTAACAGTGGCAGCTTGGCAACGCCAGGGCTTGAACCCCCGACCTCCTCCGCCATAACCCAGAGCCTTAACCACTAAGCTACCATTGCCCCACGTGTTATGTTTTACTTTGAAATACTCGCATAAAACTCTCATTGTAATTTTGAATCCTGACGATGCCATGGTCACGCATGGCTGAGAACCTAAATTGTCCGTGCTCTCTGGAAGGGAGTGGTGGCTAACGCTTTCTCCCCTGTCGATCACAGAGACTCTAGACAATCGTGTGCGTCTGTGAGCTCATGTATGCGGAGGAGACTGTGCTTTCCTGCAGCATGAGGAGCAGTTTGAAAAGATGCAGTGGGCTGGCTTCACGTGTCTCCGAGGTTAGCCTTCACCCTCCCTGCTATGACAGGGGAGAACTGACTGGTGGGTGGGAAATGGCAGGTGACCAAATTTAGGAGAAAAATACCATGGTGATCACCAGGGTCTGGGTCTCTGAGAGTGAAGTCACAGGTGGGGTCTTGACTGAGGGTGAAAGTTTGGGAGAGCTTGGAGTTTTGGTGAGTGCAAGACTGATCAGAGTGTGTGGTGATGGTGATGATGATGAAATGTTACCTTGAGTGGAAGGTTGGTAAACTGTTGTGGTGACTGTAGGTGTTGAAGATTTGACTGTAGGTATTGAAGATTGTGTGGGAGAATTAGAAGGTGTCCATGTGTGACCCTGCTTACCTGTGTGACAAAATTATTACATTATCCACATAACCAGGAGAATTGTGTTTCTCTTTACTGTTAGCACACAAAGCAATGCTGTAAGCTACATGAAGCACACTCCACAGAAACACTGAAGCAGCAACTTAAAATATGAAGCTTTTAGCAATGAATCAGCAAATGCTGTGGACAGAAATATTGCACATAGTTATATTTATCATAGCATTTTATATTCATAGTTCGACACTTTTGATTGTAGGAATTCATTTAGAACAACAATGATGTGGATGTTATGGAGACAGTCTAACAGAAAAAATGTGTGTGTGTGTGTGTGTGTGTGTGCTCATTTTTGTTTGTTTGTTGATTTTTTTTTTTACCTGCTGTATACATCTGACACGACCATATTCCTGTCCAAGTCTAATAAATTATCAATTGGAGGTGCATCATCGACAGTGGCTAATGTATAGCACAGCCTGGTGGTTATTGCAACGAGTACACAAAAGCGAGTACACAAACCCCCCGCCCCCTTTTCCCCAGCTGAAAACACTTGCTTTCTTACATGGATGTGTGTAACGTGTTTTCAGAAAAGTACTATTCAAAAAAACTGCAAATGTTGTACTGGATATATAAACCACACTGTCATTGTCACTGATCAATTCCACATTGTATTTCTAAAGTAAATGTTAGAGTATATACAGTGGGGGAAATAAGTGTTGGACGAATGAACATTTTTTCAGTAAATATATTTCCAATTAGATTATTCAGATGAAATTTTCACCAGACATCAGTATTAACTCAAGAAATCTGGAAATATAAATAATTCATATTAAAGTCCATAAATAAATTTGTGTAATAAAGTGCAATGTATGTAAAAGTATTGAACACGGTAAATGAAATGTATTTATTATTAATAAAATGGCGGTTAAATGCACCACATGAAACAGAGCTAAATTAAATGATCATTTAAAAAAAAAATTATAAATGAGTGTGAAACTAGCTGGCATCTTACACCACAACACTGCATCTACAGTTTATATTACATCTATTACTACTTATAAGATAATAATTTGATGTTTACAATTCAATACAATACAGTAAAATACTTTACTGCTTCCTCTCTAAATGGATAATGTTACAAAGGTAAAACATATTATTCTATTTTGCTCAACATTTGGAAGGACTTGAATCATGTTTGAAGTATTATTATTATTATTATTATTATTATTATTATTATTATTATTATTATTTGGTGGCACCACTGTGGTAGAGTCTGGATAGACTATGTGTGATTATGTCTTCTTCCCCATTCCTACACTGTCCACACACAAATGTTCATATACATGACTTGTTTGTAATGTTGAACAGAAGCACACACTTCTGTGTGGTATGGGGAATTGTTCAAGAATGCAGCTAGAATCTCTTAAATCTCGAATATAGTAATATTGGGTGCAGTTAGAACTAGCTAAAGTGTAGCTAAATGAAAGCTACATGCTTAGGAAATTTGTTCTGCATTTATCATTTTATGTTAAAAAATGAAGCCTGATACATTCTTGTGCAATAAAAGCGCTTAAAAATAACTCCCTGGACCGTTCACCGAACCCAGAGGAATTACATTCCTACTTCAAGTAGTTACTGAATATTATGCGTTAACTTAAATAACTTTAATAAATAATAATATCACCGTAATTCTAATAAATCATGTAGTATGTATTATTAAGCTCATACAATCCTATAATAAACTATTTACTAGCATATATATTGTAGTAGAACGTGTTGAAGTAACATTTCACTTCTCGTGAAGTGCGTTATAGACTAGCTGTAGAAGTCTTATCAGGTTTTTACACATGAAACACTGTTCAGTTTAAATGATCATTTTGGCATGTCAGTACATGACTTTATCTCTCCACTTCCTAAATGCTATACATCAGTATTCCACAATTTCCATATTTCATATACATTTACTACATATCTTACAGAAGAATGGTGTAAGGGGTTACAAATGTATGCTTTTTTATTTTATAGAAGCATCCTTTTTTTTAAGCATAGTTTGTTGCTATAGAAAAGTGTTCTACTCACATAACACTGATCCTGCTAGAACCAGGAATAAAAACCTTGCTGCATGGAACTTTGCCATGACGAAGTGTAAAAGGCTTCTTATAAGACACCACAAGTCCTGTTGGAAACAAAATCATTAAGTTAAAACATCATCAAACTGATTCTGATTTAACTTATAATCCCCTATATATATAAAAAGTTTTTCTTTGTGTTCATTGTTATGAATTTGTTTTTTTTTTACTTACGCTTTCTTTTGATTTATCTAATCAGTCGTCACAGCTTCCTGCGTGTTTTATGCCCCGGCGTTCTCAGGCTTGTGTTTGTGCTTGACAGGCGGAGGAACGTCCTGAACACTCTCACCTTCAGTGAAGCACTAAAGGCGTCTTAACAGGAAGTTGTATTATCAGCTACGCAACAATCTCTCCCACTTTTTGCACTTCTGTCTCACTTGTTGAAGCTAAAGAGCAACACTGTAAGAACATTATGCATTTATGTTTTAATTTATTTATTAATTTTCATATGATTCATTTACATATGATTCATTTACATGTGATTCGTTTACATGTGATTCCTTTACATGTGATTCATATTCATGTGATTCATATTCATGTGATTCATTTACATGCGATTCATCTTCATGTGATTCATTTACGTTTTCTCCCTTCCCTTCCCTTTCCCAAATATTTCGATGAGAAGGAAAAAAACAAAAAAAAACAACAACAAATTTTTTTGGTCCCCCCCAATCCCCCCCAACAAATATTTCTGAGATGAAAGAAAGCTATCCTAGTAATATTATCTACATGAGCATCAAATGATAGGCTGGAGTCAATAATCACTCCAAGGTCTTTAACTGCTGTACATGATGAAACAGAAAGACCATCCAGAGTAACCATGTGATCAGAAAGATTACTTCTAGCTACACGTGGGCCTAATAAAAGTATTTCTGTTTTATCAGAATTAAGTAAAATGAAGTTGGTTAACACTGGCACCCTGTCCAGGGTGTACCTTGCCTAGTGCCTGATGATTCCTGGGATAGGCTCCAGGTTCCCCGCGACCCTGAAGAAGGAATAAGCGGTAGAAGATGGATGGGTGGATGGAAGTTGGTTAACATCCAACATCTAATCTCCTTTACACAATCCTCAACTTTAGTAAGCTTCTGTCTGTCCTCTGGCTTCGCTGAAACATACAACTGTGTATCATCAGCATAACAGTGGAAGCTAATTCCATGTTTACGATTAATTTGTCCTAGGGGTAGCATATATAAAGTAAAAAGCAGTGGGCCTAAAACAGAACCTTGTGGAACTCCAAAAGTAATCTCAGTACACATGGAGAAATCACCATTGTAACACAAGCAAATTCCACATCACCAAAGTTTGGAGTGTGTACATTTACAACACCTGTCTTTGCATTAGAGTACCAGCACCTATATTATATCTACCGTTCGCATCAGCAGTAACATTAGTGAACGAAAACCTTTTGTCAATTAAAATAGCAACCCCTCTGGCTTTCAAATTAAAGTTCGAGTCGAAGACGTTTCAGGGGTGTAAAAACCTTAGATCTCTTGACAGGATTACCCATACCTCTGACATTCCAACTGATAATCTTAAAGGCGTGCCTTTATCACCATATTACTACTAACCATTTAAATAAAGTAAACCATAGCAATATAAATAGCCTTTTAGAGCCAAAGAGGGACACACACCCAAAGTCTCCATAAAACAAGGGAGACAGCAGTGTTTCCCACCTAGAGTTGTCCACTAAGTGGACAAAGAGTAAGCTAACAAAATTACGCAAACTAAAAAAAGAAGTGTGCGGCGTATGGTCTGAGCACTGACAGGCTGACCCCCAACTCCTTCAACCTCTGCAGCAATGCTGGCAGCACTCATATGTCTTTTTCCCAAAGACAACCTCTGGATATGACTCTGAGCACGTGCACTCAACCTCTTTGGTCGACCATGGCGAGGCCTGTTCTGAGTGGATCCTGTCCTGTTAAACCGCTGTATCATCTTGGCCACCATGCTGCAGCTCAGTGTCAGGGACTTGGCAAAGTTCTTTGCATGAGGTGCCATGTTGAACTTCCAGTGACCAGTATGAGGGAGTGTGAGAGCAATGACACCAAATTTAACACACCTGCTCCCCATTCACACCTGAGACCTTGTAAAACTAACAAGTCACATGACACCGGGGAGGGGATATGGCTAATTGAGCCCAATTTCGACATTTTCACTTAGGGGTGTACTCACTTTTGTTGCCCTCAGTTTAGACATTAATGGCTGTGTGTTGAGTTATATTGAGGGACAGCAAATTTACACTGTTACACAAGCTATACACTCACTACTTTACATTG